ATTAAAAAAAAAAGAATTTCTGTTAGAAAATCAAATCAAATGAGCAATAAACAAATAAACAAACAAATGAGCAATTTGTTTGACAAATTCACCAATAAAGGAAAACATCCACAGATCTGGCTTCGAGGTATTTTCTTTTATTTTCAGGAGACCTATGGTTGAAGCTGCCAGCACCCAAGGTATCACTGAGAACTTCAGTCAACATCCACAATGACCTGCTGGAATCCCACCTAATTCCACATTCCTTTCAAGACAGAAAAGAATTTGTCTCCCAAGTAATTTTCTTCCTCAAGGGTAAAAACAATCTCAACAGCAAGCTAATACCTTGTCTTGATTTTACACTTTGCTATTTTAATTTCCTCAAAACTAAAGTCGATCATAAATCCCATGCAATCAAGGCATATGCACTGTCTTATATCTTTGTAAAAGGAATTACTTTAAAACCAAAAAATCGCTTTCCCATTATAAATTTAGCTAGATTCATACATTGAGAAATACTTTTATGTCAATTTTTCTAGCTTTAAAAATACATATAAATACAAATATATTTTTAAATTTTATGATTCATAAGTGCCATCTGCTGGTTTTGTCTGGTAATAATTCTCTAGTAAATCTTTGATTTATTGTCAGAAGCTAAGAACTGTGAAACATGCAGTCATATCTTTATAGAAAATGTAGTACAGTATCAACATCATTATAAAGTAATGATCTTGAAGTTCATAGATCATAGACAAGAATTTTTCTCTGAAGTTTTACTATCCAGAATAGGCTTATTTCTCCTGAGCAAGACTTTGCTTAGATATTTAAGGTATTATCAATCTGAGTTGGATATTTTCCTTTAATGACTGCTAGAAAAAAAACTAATTTGTGACTCAGTTTTGGAACAAAAAGTTGCAGGACTGTCCTGCAACAATGTTGTATATGGTTAGATTTCTGGACTTATGTGTAAACATATATAATTCTTTATTCCTATTTTTTAAATATAGTGTAATTTTTTTAATTTTTTTGTCACATTCTGTAGGGACTTAAAGTTTAACATATCAATACTTTATGAAAAATACCTGTTTCATGTTATGCCTAAGATGTTTGATATTCTGACAGAGTGAGGTTAAACTCAACAGCCTAGGTTATATGGTAATAATAATAAGCTTCTCTTCTGGAGGGTTAACAACCCACGTTTGCAGACGAAAATTAGAGAAAAAGGAGGGCTGCAAGGAAAGCCAACATTTTGGCCCTAGCCTTCTAAGGTCAATTAAGGACATATGAGAACTTGTACTGTAACAACATGTAACTCAGTTGTGGCCCTAATTTTCTGATCAAAGAGATTATGGGGCCAAAGAAGAAAGTGATCGATGATGTAGAGTGTGCCTAAGGAGAGTCACATGGAGAGAAAACATTCTCTCAGGCTTTCACAGAGAGCACAT